TTTGAGCTTTTTCTTTTTCTAACGTGTTTCGTCAACCACAACAGCTAAAAGAATACTAAAGAATGCTTTGAGTAGCTGAACATTTTCTGTCGTATGAGGCGTAACCAGGATTTGAGGAAAACCCAAAGCCATACTTTTATGTATTCTAGCTTCTATCAGTAATCTAGTGTTAATGGCTTAGTAAGATAGAGTAAACATTTCTGAGAAAAATAACACGTCTCCAAGCTCTTCACAATATTTTTTTGTTATCAAGCTGCATTAAATTTACGAAAAGCGCCCGAAGACATTCCCGCTGCTTTTTTGCAGATTTTTCTAGTTTTCTCTCCGTTCGTTATTTTCCCAATATATATATATACATAAGAATAGTCAAGACATATCTGTCCGTCTGTCTGTCTGTCTGTCTGTCCGGAACGCTCAACATATATACATAAGAATAAGAATAAGAATATACACATATCTGTCCTTCTGTCCGGAACGCTCAACATAGAAAATTTTTACAACATATATAAATGCTGGGCGTCCGTGGTTTTCCACGGGTTATTTCTAGTAAGTCTATTAAACTTAATGTTTGAAATAACGTACTATAGCATATTTTGTAGCCCTTTCAATTCTACATTTTTCTAAATATAAACTATTTCTAATTTCTATTTCTAAAAGGAACTGTGATTATTTTTATATACCGTTATGAGTAAAAAGTCGAGATATCTATTCAGTATTTAGCCAATAAATATATGAGGGCAAACTTTCAAAACAAAATGTTATAATTCGTTTTAAAGCCCAGAAAAATCGCTATCTTGCGATATATAAAACATTCCGGGTCTGAGCAGATATATGGAAGAAATATTCCTTTAAAGCCTTAAGATAGGTGGAAATCATAATATCTATTGAGTATTTCCACACTTGCCCCTTATGGGTATATTTTTGAAAAGCTTATTTATAACTCATGGTGAAGCGCAGAAAATTCTCTACCTTTCTATATACAAAACATTCCGGATCTGAGTAGAAGCGTCAATGAAGTATTCCTTTAAAGTGTTAGGATAGATGAAAATCATGACATTTGTCTAATATTTTGACAACTGTTCTATGCGGGCATATGTTTGAGAAGCTTTGTCAATAGCTCGTTTTGAAGCGCAGCGAATTCCCTAACCTTTTATGTATGAACTTTGATCAAAGTCTTTGAAATCGTACGAACAATTTGACAAACAAAGTGAATGACCTTACTTAAACTGGTAAGAAACAACTTTTTAAGGAGATCAGAAGCAATTTTTAAAAGTGTTCATAAATTTTTTCTCATTTAGTTACATTAGTTAAACGGTAATGAAAACCAAGTTGTAAGAGAAATCAAAAGTAATATGATAAAAATGATAACTATGGCGTGAAAGTCTTGTCACAAATTAAAATTCATATTTGTTCATGGAGAACAGGCTGTTTTTGAAATCAAAACTTGAATTTTAGAAAGTACTTCTCAGCTTTTGATTTATTTTTTAGGATATGGGGTTACACTAGCAATGGGAGTGTAGGAATTACAAATCTTTTACCAGGATGCTTCAAAAGACTATTTGTGCAGAGAGAAAAGACAATTTCTTTTAATGAATATTTTTGTTAATAAATGTTTATTTGATTGTCAGAATGCAGAGCAAATGATTTTCTACAAAATGGTGCGTCACACGGTCTTATATGATCAAAGGAAAGGACGCTATCTGTAGTCTGTCAGAAGCCTCGAACTATGTAAAACATGACAAAAACAAAAATTATTAGAACATAAAAGTGGCATAATTAATAGTTGTAAAATAAAATTTAATCTACCTATCATCTTTAAAAACAGCTGCTTGCAATTGCAACCAGAGTTTCAACATTATTAAAATCAAATGAATGTTGCTGGTGGTGAACATGAATTGATCTATGTGAGTTCTGATTACTTTTCTTAATATCCTCTTGATATTCTTCCATTCCAAAACTCTGTCTACTAGTTTCACCTACATAATAATTATCACAGCTGTTGCACGATATTTTATGCATAAGTTGTTTGCTAAGGTTCAGCTAATGCAAAATCCAAGTGGAATTTGTTGTTGACTTTTTATAGATATTCTGATTCGTCTTTTGAAGCTCATCACGAATAACAACCTCTTCGATGTTCAAAACCTTTTTCTTCATGGAGAAAAGCTCAAAATACCGTGAAGGCCTCAAAAGCCGACCTCCGTCATAAAATTGACGTTTTGAAATTGTATTGTAGCATGAAAGGTTCAATATCCCGTAGACAAAAGATCTCGATTATGAAATGAAAATCATGAATATCATCCAAGTCAATAAAGCTCCTTGGCACCAGCCTCATCTAATAACTTTAAACACGTTATTAATTCTAATGTGCGTCGATTACTCATCCGATAGCATGTCTTCTATTCAGTTTTTAATCAGGAAAAAAATCTAAATTCTAATTAGAAAAACAGGATGTTACTTTTTTATGATTCAAAAGTCCTATTCAGAAACCTAATCATGAGATCTGAAAGTTCACTAGAAAAATAACTTTCATTACTGGAAGTCCTTTTCATACAAAATAAATTACTCTCTTGATTATCTGTCTGTTCGGAAGGGCTATTCTCCATGAACAAATATGAATTTTAATTTGTGACAAGACTTTCACGCCATAGTTATCATTTTTATCATATTACTTTTGATTTCTCTTACAACTTGGTTTTCATTACCGTTTAACTAATGTAACTAAATGAGAAAAAATTTATGAACACTTTTAAAAATTGCTTCTGATCTCCTTAAAAAGTTGTTTCTTACCAGTTTAAGTAAGGTCATTCACTTTGTTTGTCAAATTGTTCGTACGATTTCAAAGACTTTGATCAAAGTTCATACATAAAAGGTTAGGGAATTCGCTGCGCTTCAAAACGAGCTATTGACAAAGCTTCTCAAACATATGCCCGCATAGAACAGTTGTCAAAATATTAGACAAATGTCATGATTTTCATCTATCCTAACACTTTAAAGGAATACACCGAGAAGAGCTGTTTCTTTTTTATTGATAAATAACGTGTCGCATGCGGGACTGATTCAAGAATACGAGAATTATGTGTGGTGCACAAAAATATTAATGCAGTAGGAATGCAAGTACAAAAATGTTAATGCAAGATTGAAGTAAGCAAAAAACTGCTAATGTACGTTTATATGTAAACAATGGCAGGGTAAATCTAAAGAATTACAAAATTGAATAACTGAATTAAATCAATTATGGAATGATATGCATCTTGCTGTTGAAAATCCAGCTTCAAATCCTTTTAGTTTTTACGAATAGTTTATAACATATCTGGCAGAAAATTTTCGATATCATTTGATAGCAGGTGTTAGAATCCTTATTGTCTATGGTGGTGGATGAGATCCCGTCGGAAAAAGAAGAAATTTTTCAGCTGCTAAATTCTTCTCATAAGAATGTCAGAATCGGGTCTTCAATGCAAAACTACCAGATTTTGCCAGTTGGACTCAATTTCTTCTCATCATAATATTTTTTCATGTTTTATTGTGTTTTACTCTTGTTCAAAGAGCTACTTCATAGTATGAGTTGTCCATTACGATAGCTGTCAGTTCAATCTCAAATATGCAATTTGGGTCCTTCGACAAACTGATTTTAAGTGAACGGCAGTAGATGTTGTCAACTGTCAACTTCTATGCTGACATCCCTAGACTCTACACGTTCGCACAGTTCACCCCTGATTTTTGCAAATATTTTATTTTTCTACGCATACATCCAATCTTTAAGGGTACTCCCCTCTTTTTTGCAGAAAAGTTGTCATTTTGAGCTAAACATAGTCTAATATAGAGGGAAGTCTGGGGCTATAAAACGAGTACACTCTCAGCTCTCCATGACCTTGAAAAAATTATGAAGCTTTTAAGCTTTTCCTCGAACGCTTAGAAAATCTCAGTTTTTTAGGTTAGTAAATTTTTCTCTCCTTTCCTATATATTCAAAATTTTTCTTATATATAACATGATAGAAGAAAGTGTGCTCTTCAAAATGTAATGTTTTCCAGAAAGTTCCAATGAGTTTTCTTAGAGATATAAGCATAGCCGAAAATAGCCTGAAAAATAGAGCCCTGTGTACTATATGTGTTTTTCTCACTATACTTTTTTTCAATAGTCCCTTCATGGTACACATTAGGACCCCTCGAAAAAATGGTCTGATCGAGCTCAAACTTTAACCACAGATACTTCAGACCCTATCTCATGTTGGTTTTTTCTAAAAGCGTTTTCGACTTCAACTTTCGGCGTGAGAAGGTTTTCAAAATGAAAAACCGGTTTTTTATATGGGATTTTCAGTATTTTTCGGATATCACAAGAAGGAAAGAATATTTTTCGAAAAGAAAGAAGAAGAACCTGAGATAGGGTATTTGTGGTAAACTTTTGAACCCGATCTGACCATTTTTTCAGGGGCGGGGTCGTAATGTGTGTCAATGAAAACTGGAGTTTTCCAGAAAACCCATTGATGAACACGTTAGAAAATTCTGGGCAAAAATACATCGATGTTCTGTCTCTGGTATAACATATCGCCTTCCCTAGTTTTGAAGAGGGTAAAAAAAGCGGGGGAGGGGAGTACCCTTAAATGATTTCTGTTTCTAACTGGCTGTAGTTTTCACTAAAATTTCAATAAGTTATTCAAACTGGAAAGCATCTACATACTGTGAAACAGATTAAATCTTCTAACTGAGACTTACAATGCAACGTTTTCTCTTCCTTCCAGTGAAAATTAATTTTTGTGACAATTGCGTAGTCCACATCGAAGAAAAAACGAAATTTTCAGCTATTCATTTCTTCCCATATGCACCTACTATATAAACTTTATCTTATCTAGTTACTTAGTTGTTTCTTCTTCTGTGATGTAAATGCGCAGAAAAAAGTATCTAATAAATGATGATGCTTGTACTCAATCTACGGAATATGAATATATGTCTATTAATTTTCACGCAGTGTTCACGGATCATATTTTTAGGTTTTTTCGCTGTTGATGGCCACTTCACCGAATTTCACAAACTCAACCAAAGCACAGTATACATCTGATCCCATAACTCAATACATATGCGATCATTCCTTACGTTTGACACCAGAACAAACGGAATTAATTGAATATACTAAAACACTTCCAGGTAAGTACGATGAACACAAGCGAATTATAAAATTTTAATATTTTCAGTCTCATCTTTTTTTGGTTTTTAGGTAGAATTCCATTTATGCTTGGTAGTATTCATGAAGCACAATTTTTTCAAGTATTATTGAGATTAATGAATTGTAAACGATGTATTGAAGTTGGTACTTTAACTGGCTGCACAACTCTGACAATTGCTTTAGCATTACCCGATGATGGTCAAATCGTGACATTAGATGTTGATGACCAATATATAAGAAAGGATTTATGGAAACGTGCTGGTGTTGATAAAAAAGTTCAAGTTCGAATAAAACCGGCTCTTGAATCATTACAAGAGCTATTAAATGAAGAATATGGTGAAAATAGTTTTGACTTTATTTTTATTGATGCCGACAAAGAAAGTTATATGAAATATTATGAGATTAGTTTAAAATTAATTCGTCCAAATGGTTTAATTGCTGTTGATAATACGTTATACCAGGGTAAAATACTCGATCCAAATAATAACGAAGAATCAACAAAGGTTATGCGTCAATTTAATGAACATATTAAAAATGATCAACGTATCGATGTTAGTTTTTTACGCTTGGGTGATGGTACGACGCTTTGTCGAAAAAAATAGATACCACAGTTGACCACCGAAAATAAAAGTAGTTCTTTTGAATGATTTTTAGACTCGCGAGGGAACCTTTCCAGGTGTACAACCGCTGTTCAAGTGCAACCCGGTTTCTGAAAACTGGTTTTCTAGAAACCTTGGAAAACCTCCAAGAGTTTGTCTAAATAAGTCATAACTGTAGCCCGCGAAATTCTGATTAAAATGAGAGATCTCCCAGCTCTACTCGACCTTTCTTTGCAAAGTTATAGAATTTACAAGAAAACCCTAAATTCATCTCTCCTTCTTCTTTCTGTAGCTATGAGATGAAAATAAACATTTAGGACTTTTCTTGTAAATTCTATAGCTTTGCAAAGAAAGGTTGTGTAGAGCTGGGAATTGTCGCATTTTAATCAGAATTTCGCGCGCAGTTGTGATTTATCTAAAGAAACTTTTGGGGATTTTTCGAGGTTTCTGGGAAACCAGCTTCTCAGATATCGATTAGAAAGCGCTTATGGGCAGAAACGGTTATCATATTCGGAATCAGCATGGTCGATTACCTATAAACTACCATATTTCGTCAGAAAAGCGGTAGGACACCTGGAAAGGTTCCGTCGTCCGTTTGCTAGTTTTGTGTCTTCTTCTTAAACTTTTAAAAATCTCTTGTATCAGAATGTTAATAGTAATTTTGTTTTGATTGAGCTCTGTTTTTATTATTTCTATGAGAATGATTTGACTTGTTAATTTTTTTTTAATACAATAAATTAAAGTATAGTTTATTATCATTTTTTGTAAGTAAATAACACCTTTTTCTTACATGATCTTGTAATTTCGCGATATTGATGGGCATTATATTCAGTTCGGCGACTATTTGCATACTATATATTCTTGTTTGTCGTAGATCATTTTTGAAGTGTCGATATGAATACGAAGTTAGATCCTATTTTTGAATTTTTGAATTTTTGAATAAGTACTTTTTCTTCGTACAAACTTTATTTTTATTATATTCCAAACGTTTCAATTGAGAGTTCAATCTTCATCAGTGGATACAAACATTAATTAAATTAATTAAAATTACATAAACAAAACCAAATTTGAACAGAAAACGTCAAATTTGGTTTTGGTTATGTAATTTTTATTAATTTAATTAATT